AGATTACCAACCAGTGAAGAAAAGATGAAATTTAACATTGTTGAGATAACTGGCTAATCATTTGGGGAAGAAATAATGCTAAATTCTTATCTCATTCGCTACACTAAAATAAATCTCAGCTGTACTAAATATTTTAAATGTAAAAGCAAAGAAGCCATTAAACTACTAGAAGAAGAGATAGATTAATTTGTTTATAATCTTAGAAGAATTTTCTAAGCACAACACAAAGCTTAATGTACATTAAAAAAAAAAAAAAAAAAAGACTGCTAAATTTGAGCAGCCACAAATAAAAACTATTTATAGCCAAGAGTACTATTTAAAAGTCAAAAAATAAATTGCGGAAAATAGTTGAAAATAAAATGACAGGCAAAGGGTCAATATCCTTAATAATTGAATGTTGTTGTTATTGTTGTTATGTGCCGTCAAGTCGGACCCGACTCAAAGCAACCCCTCCTTGGGTTTCTGAGGCAGTATCACTACGGAAGTAGATTGCCCCATCTTCCTTCCGAGGAGTGGCTGGTAGATATGAACCGTCAGCCTTCTGGTTAGCAGTCAAGTGCCTTAGGCACTATGCTACCAGAGCTGATAATTGAATAGTTATTATAAATCAATCCTTAATAAGTGAACAATCTAATAGAAAACATGATATTTATAAAAGATAGTTTTTAAAATGTGAAATATAGTATGTTCATCCTTCCTAATAAGGTAAATGGGAATTAAAACAAGAAATAAGATTGTTCACCTATTCATTGGTAAGATTATACAATATGATAATATCTAGGTTTATAGGGAAAATTTCACTGGTGTTAATAAGGTTTTCACTGGTCAATGTTTTCAGAAGTGGATGGCCCTGTTCTTCTTCCCAGTCTGTCTTAGTCTGGAAGCTCTGATGAAACCTGTCCACCATGGGTGACCCTGCTGGTATTTGAAATACCAGTGGCATAGCTTCCAGATTCATAGCAACATACAAGCCACCACAGTATGACAAAGTGACAGACAAGTGAGTGTTGGATAATACTGTGAAAAATGGGAATTCCAGAACACTTAATTGTGCTCATGAGGAACGTGCACATAGACCAAGAGGCAATCTTTCATACAAAACAATGTGATACTGCATGGTTTGAAGTCGAGAGATGTGTGCATCAGGGTTGTGTCCTTTAACCATGCTTATTCAATCTGTATGCTGGGCAAATGCTCCAAGAATCTGGACTGTGTGAAGAAGAAAGCAAAATCAGGATTGGAGGAAGAATCATTAACAAACTGTGATATGCAGATGACACAACCCTGCTTGCTGAAAGTGAAGATGACTTGAAGCACTTGCGAATGAAGCCTTCAGTGTGGATTACACTTCAACATGGAGAGAACCAAAGTCCTCACAACTTAAGCAATGAGCAACATCATGATGAATGTAGAAAAGATTGAGGTTGTCAGGGATTTCATTTTACTTGGATCCACAATCAACACTCATGGAAGCAGCAGTCAAGAAATCAAATGTCATATTGCACTGGGCAAATCTGTTGCAAAAGACCTCTTTAAAGTGGTAAGGAGCAAATATGTCACATTGAAGACTGGGGTGCACCTGATCTCTTCATATGCATGTGAAAGCTGGACAATGAATAAGGAAGACCGAAGAAGACTTGATGCCTCTAGATTGTGGTGTTGGCAAAGAATACTGAAAATACCAGGACTGCCAGAAGTATGCAGAAATCTGTCCTGGAAGAAGTGCAGCCGCAATGCTTCTTGGAAGCAAGAATGGCCAGACTTTGTCTCATCAACTTTGGTTATGTTGTTATAAGGGACCAGTCCCTGGAGATGTATATCATGCTTGGTAAAATAGAGGGTCAGTGAAAAATGGAAGACCCTCAACAAGATGAATTGATACAGTGGCTGCAACAATAGGGTCCAGCATGGCAAGAATTGTGAGGATGACACAGGACCAGGCAGTGTTTTGTTCTATTGTACATAAGGTTGCTATGAGTCAGAACCGACACCACAGCACCTAACAACAATAACATAGGGAATGTTTACAAAAAAAAACACTCATAGTGACCCTATAGAAGAGAATAGAACTTCTCCATAAGGTTTATAAGGCTGTAAATCTTTAAGAAAGCAGACTGTCTCATCTTTCTCTGCAGAGCAGCTAGGCGGTTCAAACCTCTGACCTTCCAATTAGCAGCCAAATGCCTTACCTGCTGCATCACCAGAGCTCCTTTAGGAATGTTTGTTTTTATTGTGCCACCACTTATTTGTCACTTTGTCGCAACGTGGTGGCTTTCATGTTGCTATGAGGCTACAAGCTGTACCACTGGTGTTTCAAATACCAACAGGGTCACCTATGGTCGACAGGTTTCAGTAGAGCTTCCAGACTAATACAAACTTGGAAGGACAAGGCCATCCACTTCTGAAAAAAACTGGCCACTGAAAACATTATGAATAGCAAATGTTTAGGCACTGTCATGTCTTGTTATTAGAGTGGCTTACTATGGGTTCTCCAGAGAAGCAACACAGTGAGATGTGAGTGTGTGTGTGTGTGTGTGTGTGTGTGTCTGTGGCATGTGTATGTGTATGTAGAGAGGGAGAGAGATTGATTTGCTTCGAGGAAATGACAAAATTGTGGGGGCTGGTAAGTCCCAAATCTGTAGGTCAAGTGGCAGACCGGAGACCTCTGCATGGGATTGTGGGAATTGGTAAATTTGCTGGTCAGGTGGCAGGCTGAAGACTTCTGAAGAATTACATCTCAGGAGTCAGAGGTCAAACAAAGAGAAGGGTGCCGGATGTAGAGCAAGCTTTGCCAGAGCATCCGCTTCTGTTTTGGAGGCAGGACACACTCCCAAGGAAATGCCTTTTTCAACTGATTGGCTGATCACATCTGATCACATCATGAATGGTGACTGCATTATATTATGTTATGGAAGAGCAATCAGTCCAGTGTCCGCCAAACCATTGAGAATCAGCCTATCCAAGATGACACACATTAACCATCACAGTATGCAAATTGGTACAATTTCTTTAAAGGGTAATTTATCAATAGAGGTATCAAAAAATAACTGCCCATACCCTATGATCATCAATTCCTTTACTGAGAATATATCCTACTTCCACAAGCATGCAAGGATTCCTCTTCAAGAGTGCTCACTGTAGCACTGTTTGCAATAATAAAAACTATGTGCTGATCAATACGAGACTGGGAAAAATAAATGGAATAATATATTTTCATTAAAGGCTATTATATTGGAGGGCATGCAATGATACAGAAAGATTTCCAAATACATGTTTAAGGGAGGAAAAAATAGTCTGTAGAGTACTAGTTTGAGTTAAAATATGTAAACAGGAACACGTGTATGCAAAATTTCTGAATGTATATAAGAAAGTGTTTTACTACAGGGGAGTGAAACTGGGGACAGAGGGAAACCTCAAAGCCTATTGCAAAGATTAATAAAAAAAAAATTAGCCCTCTGGCAGCTGGTAAGATTGCTGGATTGGCTACAGTTGAAGTCTTTGGTCCTGTTCATTGGTTTTTTAAATCGAAATTCACATAGGTGCACTGATTAGTAACGGAGAAACTTGAGGAATTGCTCAACAGGCTGTGAATTAAGGTTTCTCTGCTATTTGCTGCTGCTCTTTTAGAAAATCTAGCTTTGGTGGTGCTATGGTTGAGCACTTGGTTGCTAACCATTAAAGTCCACGGTTGGAGCCCACCAGCCATTCTGTGGGAGAAAGACTCGCCACATCTTTCTCCCACAAAGTGGCTAACGGGTTCCAACTGCCACCTTTCAGTTTGCAGTTGAATGCTTTAATCAGTACACCACCAGAGCTCCTATACTCCATGAAGATTACAGCCTTGGAAACCCTATGGGGTCAGTTCTTTCTACGTCAGAATAGATGCAGGCACAACACGTTTTTCAGTTGTTCGTTTCATCATGTGATATCTGTATCTCCCATTTCATCATTCATTTGAATCACTTTGAATTGCTTTTGAAAATAAACTTTTGAAGTAAGATGTCATTTTGCAACCTCAGGTTTCTCAGTGACTAATTAGTGCACCTGCATGAATTTCAATACAAAAATCAGTGAATAGGACCAAAGACTTCAACTGTAGCCAATCCAGCAGTCTAACCGGTTGCCTGAGGGCTAATTTTTTATTCATCTTTGCTACAGGCTTTGAGGTTTTCCTCTGTTCCCCAGTCTTACTCCCCTGTAGTAAAATCTTTCTTACATATATTCAGAAATTCTGCATATACATGTTACTGTGTATATATTTTAACTAAAACTAGTGTTCCACAGCCTGTTTTTCCATAAATATATATATATTTTTGTTTTCCAAAAACAATTCCGTAACACCTATGCAGAGCTCTTTTGCTTGTATTTTGCAAGAAATCTCCAGATTTTCATGACATTTCCTGCAGCTCTAGAGACGACTGAAATATGAAGTCTCTCCTTTGAAAACCAGGTTCTGCTTCAATCACATTTTTCACCAATCTTTTCCTTCTTGAAAACTATTTTCCTAGTGATGTGTACTTATGATAAATGTCAACAATCAAATCAGACAGCCAGAAACTGTGAAGATAAAAGGTGACACCAGAGCTTCACACTTCATTCTTTCAAAACTTCACTCCTTCGTTTGAAGCTCAACGGTCACAGTGCAGGCATTTCTTTTCACCTCTGAAAACTGTCAAACAGCCTCCTCAGAGTGACGTGCGAGTTAAAGAAATAGTCCTCCGGACCAGTTTGTAACGGAAAAGCACTGGCAACCAACGCTCGCCTCCTGCAGGCTGGACGTGAAACGCTTACTAAGTAACAAGCAAGTCCAGTTGAGACTACAATTCCCACCAGGCATAGCGGGAGAGGGACACACGCACGCGTAGCCCGGGCCCGGAAATAAGTCGTCTCCCTGCGGGGTTTTCTGGGAATGGAAAACGGCCGGAGGGAGGCTGTGACTCGGAATACTGGTAGACTCTAGGGTGCCGGTGGTGCACAAGCTCGTGTACCTAATTTACAGCATGTCACAGGCTTTTTCAGAGGTGCTACGGCTGCCAACGCGGCAGCTCACGAAGCTGCTGTTCCCGCTACAGGAGCTCGAGCGACACATGGCACCAGATATGAGGCCCAGCCTTCACCTGCGGACCTTCAACCCGAGCCTGGAGGACATAGAGAGGGCGGACGACCTTTTCAAGGCCACCTCTCGGCATCGCATCGAGTACCTGAGCTCCGCGGTCCGCCTCAACCACGCCCCGGACCTCCTTCTCCCAGAGGTGAGAGCTGTCACTGCTCTGTGTTCGCACCCTCAGCAGGGTCTTTGCTATTTACTCTATTTTTTGGTCACCAAAGGGACAGATAGTTTCTAGCTTTATGTTGGTTAGTTTTCTAGCTTTGTGTTACAAGAGTGATTGTCTCAACTAAATAAGCATATATAGTTTTAACTATTTTGGTAATGAATGTAGAATTAAAAAAGGCTTAAACTAAGCATTAACAAAATTAACTTGTCCTTTTTTAAAATCAAACTTTTCCTGTTTAATTGAATTCCTGTTAATTGAATTTAATTGAAAACATGCACAGACAAATTAGACAAAGTTAAGAATAAGAGAAAGTTTAATAGTTTCAACAAATGAGGTGATCCTTATGCAAAAATTATTATTATATATAGATGGCAATTATGTGAAAGGTTTTTAAAACGACTTTTATTAATAAAATTTTCTGCATGTTTTTTCTTGGATTTCCTAAGATTTAAAAATACTTTCTTCAAAATCTACAAAGGAAAAGCTCAAATTTCCTTACATATTTGCAGTAACTGCACTACTGCGCTGAGACTTTTCATCCAAATATATTTAGAACTGCTGTAATATTTGAGTAGTCAGAACTCAGGGAGAAAATAAATTATTAAATAATTTTGAGGTAACACTGCTTTTCAATCTAAGTTTCTAAATGACTGGACTTTTTGTAACTTAAAATGTTTCAGTTCATCATATGTATTTTAGTGTTGGATTTAATCTTGCAGAGTATTCAAAATACATGCAGGATTTGGATCAATTAATTTTGAAGGACTGACCCCAGTTTGTGAAATATATAGTATTTCTGGCCCCTGCCCATTAGATGCCCTCCATTTGTATTAAGAGTTAAAAAAGCTGGCAGAGGTTTTCAAAACACCCACCAGGAGATGGTACTAGCCTCATTTGGATTCACTGGTTTGTATTATACCCCCTTTAATGTTAGGTGTAGTTGAGTCTGATCCAATTATATTAACCCTGCATACAACAAAATGAAATACTGCCCACCCCTGCCCCATCCTCATGTTGTTGTTGTTGTTATGTGCCCTCGAGTTGGACCCAACTCATAGCGACCTCTCCTTGGGTTTCCGAGGCAGTATCACTGCTGAAATAGATTGCCCCATCTTCTTTCCGAGGAGTGGCTGGTGGGTTTGAACCGCCAGCCTTTTGGTTAGCAGTCAAGTGCCTTAAGCACTACACTACCAGAGCTCCCCCCCATCCTCATAGTCCTTGCTCCTTGCTATGTTGCAGCCACTGTGTTAATCCATCTCTTTGAGCATCTTTCTCTTTATCTCTGACCCTGTACTTTACCAAGCATAATGTCTTTTTCTGGGGAGGGTCTCTTCTGATAGCATGGCCAAAGTACTAGAGAGATGAAGGCTTGCCATCCGTGCTTCTAAGGAGCATTCTGGCTGCACTTCTAAGACAGATTTGTTTGTTCTTCTGGCGGTATTCTTCACCAACACCGTAATTCAAATGCATCAATTCTTCTGTCTTCCTCATTCATTGTCCAGCTTTCACAGGTATATGAGACGATTGAAAATACCATGGCTTGGGTCTGGCAAATCTCAGTCCTCAAAGTGACATCTTTGCTTTTCAACACTTGAACAGGTCTGTGGCAGTAGATTTGTCCAATGCAGTGTTAATTGTTTTCTTGACTGCTGCTTACATGGGTGATAATTGTTGATCTAAGTAAAATAAAATCCTTGACAACTTCAGTATTTTCCCCATTTATCATGATGTTTCTTATTGGTCCAGTTGTGGGGACTTTTCTTTTCCTTATGTCGAAGTGTACGAAGTGTACTGAAGGCAGTAGTCTTTGATCTTCATCAATAAGTGCTTTGCTTTCAGCAAGCAAGGTTATGTCATCTCCATATCACAGGTTGTTAATGACTCTTCCTTCAGTCTTTTTTTTTTTTTTTAATTTTATTTTGATTTGGGTGAAGATTTACAGAGTAAATTCACTTTTCATATAGCAGTTCACATATACTT